CCAGTAGAATGAGGAAATGGAAGATGGCAACATGATTCTCATAGTCAACATAGAGCAAGCAATTCACATCAGGGTGATGCACCATGCCAATGATTTAGCAGAAAGAGTCAACACAGGAAAGGAGATTAGGACATTCAAGGAAATGGTACCTGATTGGGCATGAGACTACTGAGACTTATTTAATAAAGAGAACTTTGATGAACTACCTGAACTGAAGCCTTGGGACCATACAATCAAGCTAAACCCAAATGCCAATGCCAACTTAGACTGCAAGATATACTCTCTTAGTCAGCTAAAACAGCAAGAGCTTGACAAGTTTCTGAATGAAAATTTGTCCAGCAGATGGATCCAACCATCAAAATATCCTATAGCATCACCATTCTTCTTCATCAAAAAGAAGGATGGTAAACTATGACCAGTTCAGGACTATCAGAAACTCAACAAGATGATAATCAAGAACCAGTACCTGCTTCCACTAATCTCTAAACTTATGGACAAGCTACATAGAGCATGATATTATTTCAAACTAGATATCAGATGGAGATATAACAATGTCAGGATTAAGGAAGGAAATGAGTGGAAGGCAGCATTTCAAACTAATCAGAGACTCTTCAAGCCTATAGTCATGTTCTTCAGACTGACTAATTCACCAGCAACCTTTCAATGGATGATGAATGATATCTTCAAAGATCTTATTGCCATGAAAAAGGTTATGATCTATCTTGATAATATTCTCATCATGTTGAAGGATCAAGAGGAACACCAAGATCTTGTTTGACAAGTACTTACTCTGATGAGGAAATAGAAACTGTTTCTCAAGGCTGAAAAGTGTGAGTTTGAGATACTGAAGACTGAGTACCTTAGGGTTATTATCAGCAAAGGAAGTATTAGGATGAATCCAGTGAAGGTGGCAGGAGTGGTAGAATGGCTGGCACTGACAAAAAAGAAGAAGCTTTAATCATTCCTTGGATTTATGAACTTCTATCACTGGTTCATTCAAGACTATAGCAAGATTGTCTGACTGATGACCCAACTCACTAGAAATGCACCCTGATCATAGGGCCTCTCCCAACAGACAGTGTTTGAAGACTTGAAGTGATGGCCAGTGGAAGACATGGTACTAGTGGTATCAACAGAGGAAGAGAGGTTTCATGTAGAGACAGATTCAAGTGAGAGCATAGTGGGCACCATACTATCACAGGAGCAGGACAGAAAGTGATGACCAGTCACCTTTCTCCCTAGAGCATTAACCATTACAGAACACAATTACAAAATATATAATAAGAAGCTTTTAGTGATTGTGCTCACTCTTGCAGAGTGGTGGCACTGTTTAATCAGAGTGACACAGACTTTCAAATATGGATAGACCATCAGAACCTCTGGTACTTCCAATCCCCTCAGAAACTCAACTGATGATAAGCATATTGTGTTATGAAACTCTTTGAATATCAATATATGCTGCATCACAAGGCTGTTATGATTTTTCTCTTATCTTATGATTTTTACTTCTTATCTTATCAGAGCACCTATCTTATCTTGGATGCTTACTCAAAGGTATAAGGAAGATTATATAATCACAACAGACAGGCAGTGCTATTGTACTTAGTCATCTCATCTATGAACCATTCCCCATTGTCTACTCTCCAATGACCAGGCAGAATAAGCAGTATAATGCATGACAGTACAATAAGCAGTAGTATATTTATCATCACTCAGAATAGTATATAAGTATGATAGCTCTCACTGTAGTAACTCAGCTTGGAGCTATAAGTTTATCTCATACTATCTTCTCTCAAGCCTAGCTTGTCTCTGGCCTTAAAGTACTACATCTATCAGAACACATCCAATGGACTCTGGCATGACTGTACAAATGCAATACAGTGCCAGTTTACCATGTGTTCAGATCACCATGCCCATTAGATCTAACATTTTCTGCCCACAGGTTTTGCTAAGTGGCCACAACAACTACAGGTATTAAACCTCAACAGTGAGACCTTTCTTTCTCCCTGTGTAGATCCCTTATATCTATCTGCTCTTGCCTCATTCTAGATGAACACCTTCAAAGTGCATCAACCTTCCTCTACTATGTGGTTCTGGAAAGAATTGTGTCAATTGTAGACTTTGCTTTTTTCTGCTGGTTCATATTCAACCAAGTGAAAGAATGGAAGAAGCAAGTTGAGAGATGTTTTTCATACTGTGTTTTTGATGGCAATTCATGCCAGCTTGCTCCACATCTGAAAGGTTAGCAGATGTCAGTTTCAGATGCAGGACAAATAAAATGGGGCAACTTCCTGAGTGCAGCAGAATGTCATTCAAATTAATGCTGGATATTTAATGTAAAATAAAGCATCCAGGGGGGCAGGGGTGAGAGGGTCACACTCAAATGGTTGGCATAGTGGTTCAGTTCACCACAGATATTGATCAAGGAAATTCTAGTCTCCTCTTTTGCTTTAGGGCCCTGGAGAGATAGTTTGATGTGAGGATGGCCACAGTAATTTCCAGTGCACATTCATTCACTTTTCTCTTGAGCAAAAGTCAAAAAAAAAGAAAACATGAGAAGGCTGTGAATCCATCACTCTAGAAGAAGACAGCGAGTCCTCATTATAATGGCAGATTGGTAGTGTAGTGCACATCTTCAGATAGGAGAGCCATTAATCTTGAATGTTAATCACACAAGAGGGCTGCCTGGTTGGAATAAGAGAAAAGGATAACTTCTAGTGTCACATCAATTTGGGGTTCAATTCCCTATCCAGGATGTGATGTAACATCGGTCTTGGTCAGCTGGTTTTGCATGGCAGGCAGTTGAAAATTCAAGCTCGGCCCTGTGCTCTTCAGTCATGTAATTAAAGGAAGAGTGAAATGTTCATTATTCCAAGATGTAGCTTATTCTCTTAGGCTATTAGTGGGAATGTTTTGATCATTGATATGTATGAATGCAACTTTGGGATATAAGTTACAAAGACTTCATCAGCATCTTCTTCAGGCAGTCTCATGGACAATTTGCAATAAACGCTGCTTAGTCACCGGAAACATCGGCCCGCAGCCTTTGGACATGAACTTTACTCTGCTCGCCGACGACGTCTTGATCTACACCATCGCGTATCTCTCCGTCCCCGATATTCTTCTCCTTCGCCAGGTGAGGCTCTCTTCGCTCTTATTTCCTGTAATGCTGAATTCTCAGACATGTAAACTGTTCAATGCACTGACAAGGCTGCCAATCGTATGGACCAACGCTCACAAGCTCGACATTCTGTCCAATGACTATCCTTTCCCACTCGATGACAGCGATCTTGAACAGCGCACGCGGCATGCATACCGACTCGCATCACGATGGCTCGCAGACTCTGCTCTATCACCCAAAAGCGAGACGACATTCACTGGATCGCCCGTATCAGAGATCAAATTCGTCTCGGGGCGCCAGCATAAGTGGCTTCTGACGGTTTCGAAAGTGATATGGTCTGTTCTGATGGTCTGGGATATCGCGCGGGGGCAAAAGTGCTCGGAATGGTCGCCAAAAGGCGTGATATTCACTGGAGTGAGCCTGGCCAGAATATCCTTGAAGATCTCGTCGCCATGCCGTATCCCCATCACCGTCGGTTTTCTTCTTTTCATCCACTATGTATGAGCATCCTTGGCCTCTCAAAATTTGTCCTCATTAAGCATCTGGTCATAAAATTCCTGGAGCAGGACCTTCCGAATTATGACGCTTGGGGTTTCTTGCACTCGTATCATAAAGAAGGGGTCGGTCTTTTTTTGTATGCTGTTATGTGGAGATATTTAACTCGTCGTGTCGTACTTTTTACCTGATAATACTTTTCAAGTGTGGTGTCCGCACTGTATAAAGCTCGTATTTTTGATATCCAGAGGGCTATCACCTCCCCTGCTCTTCCAGAGAGTATGCCTCCTAGTCGATCGCAAGTCTCGTTTTCACTCCTCTTTCAATTCATCTCCTTGCTCTTTGTGTCTCAGAGCACGGTGATGCAGTACACACTCTTAGTTATCGTCCTCGTCGGCTCTTTTCTCTATTGGGGTCTGTCATGGCGAGCCCTCTGTCTCCTCATGGCAGAACTCGATGCAGCGCGGGACGAATTTCATAACAACCTCGAGAAAGGACTTCTGAAGAGCATCAAGAAGGCTCACAGAAATCGTTACCAGATATAAACGCCGCTGTTCATCGCTCTCTCCTTTTTTTTTTGCCGATTTTGCGTTCGTCCCAGGATAGAAGAAGCCGTTGCTGCGCACGCGAAGTCTTTGGAGTCTTGCGATGACCTCTTCAAGGATGTGAAAGCCTTCTGTCGAGGACAAACGGTTGCGCTTTATTTATGTCTGTACAAAGTGAAATATTTTAGAATACAAACTAAAGTACGTGGTTTGTCGGCCTTGTCCACCTCTTTCATCTTCATTGTGATATTCTAATTGCTGAAACGGCGACGTGGTATTTAAACTTTCTTTGGTGCGCCGTTGCTTCGTATGACGTTTTGACGGTGCCGAGAATCGAGTCTATTCTTGTCTCAGCCATAGCGCACAGGTTATCTAAGGAAGGGGTACTGATCATTGCCTCATGGCCGTAGAGAGCGCGTCAAGCGGTAGTGAGCAATATTCCTTCCATTTATTGGTCTCAGTCCATTTCGTTTCTATTTGTCTTTTCGTAAGCCTTCTCTCTCTTATGGTCCACCACCGTCAATTTACTAAATAAATCCAGTGTGTTTTTTATACTAAATCGTCCTCACCCTCCGGTGGTTTCCATCGTGTTGTCTCAAACTAGGTTCTATCTGTAGGGCAAATAACATCGGTCATTGATGAGCGCTACTCTCTGCGCTCCGCTCTGGCCAATGCATCTTGCCATATAGGCCATAAAACATATCGATCTTGGACAAATGTCGTACTATTATTTTATCACGCTTAGACACGTTATAGACTTCTCCGATTACAATAAAGGGTGGAGCCAATAAATGTCACTTAGTTTCAAATGTTTCAGTGGGACTACCGTTTGTCGTATATTTTAGCCTCCGTGTATGACCGGTATGAGGAACATCGCAAAGGACTGATACGTCGCGACGGGCCTCGACGGCGTTTTCCCGAAATTCCGCCTTTACATTTCACTTCCAATCCCCTGTCCAAATACATTAATCAACGATCGGAATACCTTCGACTTTCGAGACAATAGGTCGATCAAGTTATTCAATAGCCCCAGTAACGAAGATACGGTTCTGTTTCTCGGAAATGAAGGCTTGCAACAACAGGGAGTCTGGCGCTTCGCCAAACCATTTCAATTCTATGTTCGCAGCTTCATAGGCGGCAGAGAACCGTATCCCGCGCTTCTTCAAGATTTCCATGTCGTCGTCAGGGCCAGGAGACTGTCGTTTGAACTCCCATGAAGGAAGTCTAATGTTGATCTGAATGTCGGAACAATCGAGACACTGGCACGTCCCGGTCATTAAATGTGTGATTCACAAATGAAGAAAGGTAGCTCACAGCATCGTACACCCAATCTTTAGCGTCTTCTTCGCCTTTAGGGTAATGGTTGGCTTTGATGGAGGGAATATCATTCATTCCCGTGTCCAGCAACACGACAAGAGATGGGATAGTTGCAGGGCTGACCCGGATAGACACTCTGTCGGTACCATCTTCATTTTGGTGGTACAATAATACGCTTCCATCCTTCTCCGTTCTCTTGTCAAGTACAACGAAGAAGCATGGATGATAGGCGTTACTCGTCGTCGAGAATCGCTCCAAGCAAAGGGAGGAGAGCTCCGCATCGTCCACTGTGTGATTCGCAAGGTCATATAATCCTCTCGGTGGAGCTTTTAGTTGGACTCACTATAGCCGAAGTTCGCTGTGACATACACGCTAATCACATCATGTCACTCCCTCCCCTTCGCGCACTCATCGTCGAACCTCTCAATCGTACCCCGCCTTATTCCTGCGCCAGCGAATGCAACTATGCTGGATTTTTCTGCACGTTGGGCATCAGACAGAGTCATGGTTGTAAATCAACTAATAGGAGCGACCCTCCTTGCTTGTTTTACCTGTCGCAGGTTCTGATCGTAGTCCTCGATCAGGAAGGTCCCTGAGAATATCCATACAACTGAATCTTAGTGGATATCCCGGAAACGCCGAAGGGTGTGACTACGCTCCATATCACGGAGTCACCGGAACAACGACCAGCTCATCGAAAAGACACGAATTCTTCTGCAACATATTGCGATTCACGCATCATAATTTACTCATCTGATAAATGTGTTAGAATGAGAGGTAATTATCAAGCGCTCACTCAGATTGCAGCAGGGAACCCGTACACAATAAGATAAGGATATATAAGTATGGCGCTCAGTCAGGCACAGTGAAGGTGAAACAACTTTGTATTGAGTATACTATACTGAATAAGATAAGGATATAAGTAAGGAGCTACGAAGGGGTGTGAGTAACATATAGTAAGGACAGTAGTGAGGTATACATACCTTAGTCGAGCACAGCGAGGGTGAAACGACTGAGGTATCCGGGTATCGAAGGTTGGAATATATATTGTCGATCGAGAAAGGACAGGAGGTATGGATATACATAGTAAGGAAGAACAGAAGAAAGAAACAGACGGGTATATGGTACGGACATCTTCCAACAGTACAAACAGGTGGGGGCCGTCATTTGCTCATCTACCTATTTATCCACATTCATGTACACTAATAAAAACCAATGGTTTGTAATAGATAAAGCCAAGTCGGAGAATAAGCATGCTTGACATCCGAAGAGCTCGGCTGACACCGTGATGTCCGACACTTGGCATTTCAACAAAATGTTCTCAAGAAGCGCCTTACTTGGCAAGGTATAGCCCAACAATGAATGTTTATAAGGGAGGTGGATATATTATTATACGTAGAAAGATGAAGGACAATAGACGCCACATAAATATCAAGATAGAAGAAAGGAATGTGGTTTATCACTCGAAGCGGGTAATTGGCGGCCTCTACAGACTACAGTTATGTAAAACCTGACCTGAACAGTCACCTATCGTGAGTTTAACTGCAGCTGCCAGCATAGCTAGTCTGGGTATTTGCCACCATAGAACCCTTGAATTCGGCAAAGCTAGAGCGATCATCCTGGTTCGTGAGGACAGATTCGATGTTAACGGCCCCTAGAATCAAAATCGCGTTAGAACATGCAACCAAGGAATTGCAGAATCGCTAACATTTGTAATGACCCTGAGTTTGACTGTCGTAGTTGAACCAAACCCAGCCACTTGCGAGGTACCGGATGTTTCCTGTCGCTTGGGTATTACAGGTCTTGGTGCTGGTCTATGAAGAAACGGTCAAAAACTATCTAGGATCATCACAAGGTAAAAGAGACAAACCTCGGCCGAGCAAGTCTTGCCTTCGTCGGCATTTATCGTTAAGGTGACGGTGTTCACGTCATTGTAAGATGCATCGAAGCTATAGGTAAAAATAGTCAGGTCATTGAGGGTGGGAAACACAGCATCACCTACGTGCTCGACGTGGTATCGGTAACATCTGCAGAGACGGTAAATGCAGCATTTACATCGGCTACCTCTGGAATGCCAACTTGGACACTCAGCGTAGTGGAAGTGCCAATAGTTGAAGCGGCTGAAGATCAGATCAATAATGGGACAGTCACAGAGAAAGAGATCAGAGAACATACAGCTGATGGTATAAGAAGAGTCGCTGGTGAAGCCTTGGGAGACTGCGATTTGGACTTGGCCGGAGGTGCCAACGAGGGTGCCTCCAGTAGATGTGGTTTGTGTCTGGCAGACCGGGTTTCCTGTCTTGAGGTCAGAACAGGATCAAAATGGCATAACTGCAGGCCAACCAGAGAAGCTGAGCTGGACGACATCGTCAGTGATACAGACTTGTGCAGGTTGGCTGACATACTAAAGAGGAAGAAGGTCAGATCATCGGTTTTATGAACAAGGAATCGGCCTTACATCTGAAGGGTTTGTGACAATGTTGCGGGACCCGTCACCCCAGTTATCGTTGGCGTATTGCACAATAGCATCCCATCCAGAAACTAAGCGGCCAACTGGTGAGTGTCAAATTGTAGAAGAAATGAAAGGATCCTTACGGGTTTGGGCTTCGGCGACGGAAAGTTGCGCGCATTGGCTAGCAGCACGACGCTCGAAGTTATTGGAGTCGGCATTTACAGGATACCTTCCATAGAGAGAGCCGTCGCGTTTGAAGGCAAGGTAGTGACCCTTTGCCTCGTCGACTGCGATGTGGGAGACATTCCTAGGAAGTGACCGGACAAGCTCGCTAAAAGGCAAAGCGGTGACGCCAGAAAGGACTGTGAAAAAAGCGGCAAACTGAACGAATATCAAAAAAATGGTCAGAGATCGAAGACGGGTGGTGCTCACAGCAGCAGGGCTGAACATCGTGAAGCGAATGTGAAGGAGTGTAGAACGGAAGACGGTCAAGGTAGCTGAAGCAAAAGTAGCGAAGCAAGGTAAAGAAAATGTAGTGTTGATAATTCTCTATAGGCCATTCTCTTCTGCCTTTATACTCAAGAACCTGAAGCTATGTTTCAGGATGTCAGCGTTGGGTCACTGATTAGTAATTACATAGAAAATCTCTCCGACAGTTGCACTTCAAACTCGTAGTATCTGTTTCTGATCGACAGGATCATCAAACAGGATCAATTAATATATTGCACCGCCTGTAACATGGATAAAAGATGCTTTTGACAAAGATCGTCTGGGAGTGGCTCGGATCGTAGTAGTAGCGGTCAACACGACAAAATTGCGGAAATTCTAGCGATCCATAGTAGGTTTTAACCATGGGTACAGAACAAAGCCATACAATAGTTTCAGGATAAGGATTTTTAATGCCTGTCGCCCGAGGTAAAGGATGGATTCAAACGATGAAACAGAAACCTGGGCGCCACTTACCGTACCGATCCAATCTCGATAGGATTCGGCAAGCTCGCATTCTCCATTCGAACCATACTGAAACAAGACTTGACACTGTTACGAAGAGATCAGAGCATCAATGATTGACCCTGCCGCAACGAAGTGTCAGAGATTCGTACAGCACATACTATTTCATGGAATGTTGCGCACCTTCCCAAACATAAAAACGGTTCTCAATTAATTCTGAAGTTGAAAGGAAGCGTGAAGACCGGAAGGAAGGAACTTAGGAAGTGTAAGCGGAACAATCGGGAGTAAGACAGAAAAGAAAAAGCCGGTATCGGCAACTTGAAGCCGCCACAGGCCGGTGATGGCCAGGTCGGCCAGTTGTCCGATAACTTGTAATTTACATGTTCATCGCTCGAATCTCCGAAGATGGAAAGGAAAGATAAACTGATGAGAGGACATGATAGGGATCAAGTTTTGGGATCAATGATAATGTCATTGAGAGATACCGAGTTCTCGGGAGCCTTTAAGGGGACAACCCAAGCCAACTATGGAAAGTACGAGAAGTAGTAAAAGAGTAGTTAAGAAGATAGTCTATGAGGGAGGCGGGTGGGTGAAAATTCGTCATCGCGCGAGGGGAAAACGGCTGCTAGCAGCGTGTGAGAGGGTAAAGAAAGATGCTGCAAGCAGCGAAAATATATATATACAACGAATGAACAAAGAAAAGAGGAGCGAACAAAAAAATTGAGACGGCACGATGATGCCGTCGTTTCGGCAATGACCCTGAACAACAATCTTGTTCACCAATCATTGTCCAAGTAAAGATGACTCACTGGCCTTCCCTGAAATCACGAGCCTGACAGGACTTGCGCCGTTTCCAAAAAAGATGGGTAACAAAGATCCAGACGCACTGGTATGACCTTTATTCATCATAATATTGCCCGCGGGCTTATCCTTGGAGTTCAGTTTGACGTGGTCCCCCCTGGTAGCACAGGTATCAGAGAAAGAGATCATCAACGGTAACTTGTTACCGGAATCCAGTTCCCGCCGGATGACGTAGGGTTGGTGTGGGTATTCCCGCTGTACTTTTCTTATCTAGCAAGTCCATGGATTCTCGTCTGGTCCTTCAACTACAATTATAGGTTCGTTCAAGACCCACCCCTGCACGGTTCAGTGTTCTTCAAGATAGCATTCAATCTGGATGACTTGGATCCGGATTGAGCCTACGACGTCGTACTTATCTGTAATTGCGAAGTGTCAACCATGACCATCTACTGCTTGTCGATGTCGTCGAGAACAATGAAGGACACCTTATATGATGAGACAGTCAATAGTTTAATGCCGCGACGAGTCCGCCAGAGGAATGAATAAAGAAAGCAGAGCAATATCAGTAGATAAGGACAAGACAAGGACGATACCCTTTACCACTTCAGACAGACTCGCAGAGCATGACGAAAAGGATGACACGCATATATGAGATTAAAGCTCTAATCACATAGCATAACGGCAGAGAAAGGCCGTGAATACATATATAAGACCATCGCTTCAAACTGAACAGTAGGAAATCAGTCAGTAGCACAAAAGAAGGTGAGATAAACACACACAAGGGCCACGAAGTTGGATTCCAATGATGACACCTGCCATAAAGATCCCCGCACAAACCATAGCTAAGAATAAGATATCACAGAACCCCATGCCTGGTGTGGGTGGCCGTTGTATCTTCACCGAGCGGATCTGTGGTTTCACGGCCGCCCAATGCTGTTTTGGGATGAGTAATTCCCGTCCTTCTTGTCCCTTAAGCGATTGCATGACGAAAGTTCCACCAGCCATATCAAGCTGTTGGTTTGCATAGGCTTGAAAAGACTGTCCATATGCGTTCAAAGTCAGATAGTGGGGCGATGATCAGAATATACCTCAGCATACAGAGAATGATCTTTGCAAGAAGGCCAGCCTGGGGATGGCAAGACGCTGGTCGCCTCACTCTGCGATAATGACTTCATTGTCTACTTTGGTAGGATCTGTTGTATTTCAGGGCCCAAATGGCGATGATAAGAACAGAGGGCAGGAGTCCAGTTTTTATGGGTTCTCAGCACAAAGGATTGCCACTCGCTTTGTTATTACAATGAACATTAATCTTGGGTAATGACAGAAAAGACCAAGACTTTGATTGCCTATCAACATTTGTCAAATGACCAGCATTGATGGAACCTTACCTTTGTCAGAGCCAGCCTTTTTAACACACTGTAAAAGGAGCCTAGTCACTGCTGTGATGGATTTGTATTTACAAGGGGTCATATCCTGGGACATATTTTAATAGAAATTTTGAACCTAAATCCAAGTAAGGAAATATCATGCTAAAATGGTAGGTTTTGAATCTATATTTGGGAAAAGGGATTTACATGTGAAATACATAACAAAATACCATCCAGATTTGATGGCTGGGGATTTTGTAAACAAAACCCACTCAAAAACCTGTAGGATTTGGGAACATCTTTGCTATATGATTACATAAGAGATTGAGAAAGTGCACCTGTCATAATTCTGAAGGAGTAGGTCATTTGTGTGAAAGCTGGGTTCGACTCTCAGTCAGAGAGGTTGGGGAATGTGATTTATTTGGCTGTGTTCAAGGTCCTGCTGGCATGCCATGGCTTTTGGTTGCACACAAAATCAGTAGAATGTAAGTTACTGGTGACTTACCTGTCTGAAACTCCAGTGTAATGAAACCTAGGTTTTGTGCACTATCCTAGCCCATACTCAGTATTGTGCCATGTATGTTGGTTCATGAATCAAATTGGTCAATGATCACTTAGTTGAAAACTGAACTCTTCTTGAGGTGTACAGATGACACCTCTATCATGCTTGTCCACAACTGGAAGATGGGCAAGCAAACATACCTTGACACACCACCTGACCACTGCATCCAAATCATGCTCACCCCACCCACTGTCCTCATAGTGCACACCTGATCCATCACTCTCTATGCCCTTTCATCTTTGATGCCTCTCTCCACACACTCCTTTGGCTGGGTCAATGGCACCAGTGTGACCACCACCTCCATTCTTATCTGCTTAGAGAATGATAACTCCTGGGCCTCAGAGCTCAATTACCTCCAGCTCTATGCCCTCTCCTCCTTTCCACTGATACTCATCAGCAGGATATCCTCCAGACATGGCATGCTCTGATGTCTGGATATCATTCTCAGCAAGCAGAGTACTGCAGTTTGGATATGCCTGCATGATCACACCTTGGTTTCTCACTGGGAGGAGCAGGAGAACAGTTGTGAGACCCTCATGACTGCTGTCTTCCCCAGATCACTTAACCACACTGAGAATGTCTGCATTCATGATGTCTGCATGAACACCCTGAACAACTGGAGAGGTGATGTTACAATTTTTCTTATCTTATCATTTTTTATTTTTTATCTTATCAGAGCATCTATCTTATTCTGAGTGTTTACCAGTGGGCATGGAGGAGATTATATAATCACAAAACAAACAGTGTCATTGTACTTAGTTGCTTTGTCCACAAACAACATCCCATTGTCTGCTCTCCAACAACCAGGCAGGACCAGTAGTATAATGCAGAACAGCACAATAAGTAGTAGTTATATTTATCACAACCCAGGCAGTATATAAGTAGGATAGCTCTCACTGTAATAGCCCCAGCTTTGAGCTATAAGTTTATCTCATACTATCTTCTCTCAAGCCTAGCTTGTCTCTGGTCTTGAAGCACTTGACTTATTAGAACACATTAAGTGGACTCTAGCATGACTGTACAAATACAATACAGTGCTAGTTTATCATGTGTTCAGGTTATGTGCCTGTTAGATCTAATATAGTTCTTGTTGCCTCTGGTTGTCAGAGGTCAAACAATAAGGTATTGTCTCTTGTCATGACATCTGTCACTGTCTATAGGATAATGGCATGGGTTACCTACTGTGATTGCATGATCATCCCATACCTCAAGTGAAGCACTCAAGATTAGATAGGCATCCTGATAAGATAAAAGATAAAAGTCAAAAGATAAAGAAAATAGAAAAAATTATAACAATGAACATGATTGTTAGACTCAAGCTGCATATGATTGGAAGCACATAATAAACTAGCATGGTTTCATGTTCAAACCTTTGTGCTAGAGTTCACTTATTGTGTTCTGTTGATCTGATGCTTCAAGGCCTTTTAAAGTAGCTCAAGAGTAGAATGAGAGTGAATAAACCTTTAGCTTGAAGCTGGAGATTACCAGCAAGAGCA